TTCTTCCTGATGACAAGAAGGCGGCTGGGTTGGAGAGGGAGGTCATGATGGCTGCACGGAAGGGACTGGACCCATACAATATCATACCCCCAACGACAGCTCCAGGCACAGAGAACACCCTAATTTGGTCCCCACCATCACCAATAAGTGAATAGTGGGCTACATCTATGAAGAGGACAACAGTGCCATATCTGGTTTTGGCTACACAAAGGCAAGACCCAGTGATATCCTGACGGTGGAACTCGTTACAAGCTGGTGTCCCTTCAGGGGGGCCACGGAGCGTCTGTGTTAAGTTACTCAAATGTGCTTAAAGTCTTTTCTTTCCAATAAAGACTACCATTGCATTGGCCTCTTCTCCCCAAAACAACAAAAAAACAAAAAACACAAAATCTCCCTTTTTCTCTACATTCACTCCTCATTCTTATTCTTTTTTTTTTTTGAAATAGGGTCTTGCTCTGTCACCCAGGCTGGAGTGCAATGGCATGATCATAGCTCACTGCAGCCTCAACCTCCTGGGCTCAAGCGATCCTCCCACCTCATCCTGCAGGGGAGCTGGGACCACAGGCACATGTCACTACACCCAGCTAATTTTTGTATGTTTTTTTTGTAGAGACTGGGAGGGGGTTCTCACCATGTTCCCCAGGCTGGTCTCGAACCCCTAAGCTTAAGTGATCTGCCTGCCTCAGCCTCCCAAAATGCTGGGATTACAGGTGTGAGCCATTGTGTCTGGCCTCAGTCCTCATTCTTGAGGCGTACTGTGGAATGAAGGTCTGTCTTCTACAACTTCTCCAAGCTGAATTTGGGTGTTTACATGGGGCCTTATTAGAGGAGTGAAATTTTTCCCTAACTAGTTTTAGATAGGTCTGGTTATCTCCTGGATGCAAATCTAGCTGTTTATATCCCTGTATGACTTCGATTCAATTTATTTATTTATTTATTATTTTTTATTTTATTTTTGAGACGGAGTCTCGCTCTGTCTCCCAGACTGGAGTGCAGTAGAGTGATCTCCGCTCGCTGCAAATTCCGCCTCCTGGGTTCAGGTGATTCTTTTGTCTCAGCCTCCCAAGTAGCTGGGATTACAGCTGTGTGCCACCACACCCAGCTAATTTTTGTATTTTTAGTAGAGATGGGGTTTCACCATATTGCCCAGGCTGGTCTCAAACTCCTGACCTCAAGTGATTCACCTGCCTCAGGCTCCCAAAGTGGTGGCATTACAGGCGTGAGCCACCACGCCCTGCTGGCTTCAATTTACTTGGACACAAAAGAGATTAGACAGTTTGAGAGACAAGGCCCAGAATCAAGACAAGTAGAATGGCAGCTAAAGAGCCCAGGAAGGGTAAAAACCAGATGAGATTAGGGATGGTCTATTTTATGATCTCCCATATTCCCCGAGCATTTGTGCCCTTTTTGTTTAATTGGTGCAACCACTTGACCTGGTCATAGATAAATTTAATATCTTTTTCTATTAATGTTGAATTATTTACCAAAGTACAACAGGAAGAGTTAGTGACTACACATATCCCACCTTGTTCTGCCAAGAGGTAATCAAAAGCCAGGTAATTGTCAAGCACAGTATTGGCTAATGAGTCTGGGAAGACTTTGAGGCAAGTAAGAGCATCACCAGTCTTGTAGGCTAGAGTTTCTATAATTATTGTGAGGTTGCACGGGGTAGCCTCATGCTAGGCAAGCCTTCCCCAGGGGGCAAGGAAACTGCCCACTATCTCAATGCCAGCCAGAATAAGTCTAATTGCCCTTTTATTCTTTGGGCAGAGGAGGATAGGAAACAAAGATGTTGACTTCTCGTGAGATCAGGTGCCTCAGGGTGCACTATTCTTGATGCCTTGCATTTTCCAAACAGTAGGCTCTGGATAAAACAAGGTGACTCCAAAAGCAAAGATGAGAACACCTATAGCCTACCACCTGGCAGAAGGCACACGCAGGTCCAAGGTTGAGGTGTAGCCGGGTGCGGTGGCTAACGCCTGTAATCCCAGCACTTTGGGAGGCCGAGGCGGGCAGATCATCTGAGGTCAGGAGTTCAAGACCAGCCTGGCCAACATGGTGAAACCCCATTTCTACTAAAAACACAAAAAAATTAGCCGGGCATGGTGGCGCGCCCCTGTCATCCCAGCTACTCAGAGGAGGTTGAGGCAGGAGAATCATTTGAACCCAGGAGGTGAAGGCTGCAGTCAGCCGAGATCGTGCCATTGCACTCCAGCTTGGGCAAGAAGAGCAAAACTCTGTCTCAAAAAAAATAAATAAATAAAAAATAGCAAGAGTGGACTCATCAAATTTTGGGGCTGCCCACTTGAGTATTTTGCTAGCTAACACTAGCTATTTTCTCAGCTCAGTGGTTCTCAGACTTCATTGTGTATCAGGATCCTCCCACCTTAGCATCCTGAGTAGTTGGAACTATAGTTGCATGCAACAATGCCTGGCTAATTTTTTATTTGTTTGTTTGTTTGTTTGTAGAGACAGGGGTCTCACTTTGTTGCCCAGCTTGATCTTGAACTCCTGGGCTCAAAGCAATCCTCCCACCACAGTCCTCCTAAGTGCTGTGGGATTACCAGTGTGAGCCGTTGTGTGCCGGGTCAGGATTTTAAATAATGATGCAACATGGTTAACCTTTACCTCCTGCTGTTTTTATAGAATGATACCAAGGCTTATTAAATGCTATAGGCATTCTCTTCTAAGATCTCAGGGGAAAACCTATTCTATTTACATGTGTATTATACAAGATATATATTTCACATTTAGCAAAAAATGCAATCTAAAGATCATGATCATGGCTCATTGTTCCTTGACTTTGATGGGGATAATTGCAAGGCTGAGATTTTTCTCTCCATGTGGGTTCTCATCATTCAGCAACCAGCAGCCAGTTAAACTTTGTTCCAAAACAGCAAAGGCAGAAGCTGCCAAGAATCTTCAGGCTCAGACTCCAGCACTCACACGACATCATTCTGCCACATTCTATTGGTCAAAGCAAATCACAAGGCCTGTCTAGATTCTAGGCCATAGAGTAAGAGTCTACCTTTTAAGGAAGGAGAGGCAATGTCACAGGTCATGAAAACAAGGATTCATGAGACTCATAATACTTTAGGAGTTATTATTATAACAATCTGCCACAGTTGGAGAGTGGAAATTATTTTGCTACATAGAGATTTGATCGACCAAATATAAAATACTCTCTAGAAATTAGCATCTTTTTCTTTTAAATTATTCAAGGAAATTCTTTATCATAAATCTAGTAAATCTTTAATCAGCATAACATATATTCCTGAGCCAACTTGAACCATTTTCATTGTACCTAAAAAGTAAAACTGCTGAAACTTCATCTAGAAATTGGCAAGAACTTTGCATTTTTCTTCTCTATTTGAATTCGTGTCTGAAATGTAGGACTGTCAGCACTATACACACTATCTGAACACTAATTAAAGGGAGCATTTATAAAAGAGAAAAAAAAAGAAGTGATTTTCATCCTTTATGAGGCAAAAAAGAAAGTAAAAATTTTAAACACAGAAAATTTCCCTTAGATCTGTTATTTTCTACTGTTTATTGAACACTGACTCATTCTATACTTCTTTCTTTTTTTTGTTTTTAGACAGAGTTTCACTCTTGTTGCCTAGGCTGGGGTGCAGTGGGGTGACCTTGGCTCACTGCAACCTCCACCTCCGGGCTTTAAGCGATTCTCCCCTCTCAGCCTCCCAAGTAGCTGGGATTACAGGCATGCGCCACCATGCCTGGCTAATTTTTGTATTTTTAGTAGAGATGAGGTTTCACTATTGGCCAGGCTGGTCTTGACCTCCTGACCTCAGGTGATCCACCTGCCTTGGCCTCCCAAAGTGCTGGGATTACAAGCATGAGCCATCATGCCTGGCCTACTTTGTGATTTCTTAAGAAACAATACATGCATCTGTATTGAGTTGCTGATGAATTTCAATGTGAATAACATTTATAGTTTCTCTTAATTGTCTTAGCACCTGCAGGTGCCTATGATTATTTTCTTTATTTATACTCTCCTTAACTACAGTGAGTCACTATTGAGTTTTGGGTAGCAAATTTAGCTTTAAGTTTCAGCTCAGCTGAAGCTAAATTCCAGAAAAAAAGAAAACAGTCTTGGGGCTGGGCGACAGAGTGAGACTTAGTCTCAAAAAAAAAAAAAAAAAAAGTCTTTGCATTAAATGGTTACAAAATTACCTGCAAATTTATAGGATGATAACGATTATAGGGATATAATAAGCATGAAATGCAAAACTGGGATATTTCCCTGGGCTCAGACTTCTTTTCCTTTCTTATGGTTTCTGTATATTTTGGTTTTTTATTCTACTTATTTCATTAATGGCAGGACATCAAGTATACAAGAACATAAAGATTTGTTTCATCTATCAAATGCAAGTTTGTATTAGGTAATCTCTTTGATTCTATAATTTTATTTGCTATTATGGGAAACATTTGTGATTCATCCATGCAAGTGTTGAGTCTAATATTGACACTAAAGAATGTTTTGTGAGCAGTTTTCTTTTGTAAATTCAACTGCAAGGTTATGAGATCCTAATTATGAGATTCTAATTCTCTTAATAACTCCTTAAGAATAGCACCCATGAAGTAACAAATCTGCCTAAGACTTCTATGACACTATAATTGGGATGTCAGAAAATTCTGTTCTCTACCCATTGTGATTTCAGGGGTTTTAGAAAACTCCTTTCTACAAAAACAAAGCTTTCTTTCCCTCTACAATAACAGATAAGACTGGAGACCTTGTCTTTCCATCACTGTTAGAGTAGCATTGAGGTATAATATCCAAACTGTTTTAGAAAATGCAATAAATTGAGTTAAATTCACACTGGTGTGTAGAAGTATAAAATCATAATGCATTTTTGATAAAGGGTAAGATACAGCCTGGGAAGGAAACATATTAGTTTGTGTCATTTCTGGTAATAAATATCACTGCTTTATGACCTGCATGATGGCACGGTATTATCTTTCGTTTGTTCAATATTTACCTTCCAGGTGCTTCAAGGTGTGTCCTAGCCAAGTAGGTAAAGCTGGTAGGTGGGGTAATGTCCCAGGTCAGGACTCACAGGTCTATCTCATTTGGCTCCATTGTCTATTTCACATCTGCCTTTGTTGTCCAAATCCAGCCTTTGTTGTCCAAATCCAGAGTATCCACACGGTAGGTGGAGGAATTTTGAAAGAAAACTGAGCTTATTTTTGAGACGGAGAATAGAGTTTATTGTTTCTCAAAACAAATGCTCCTGATGTCACCTGGAATATGTTCTGAAAATAAATTGATTTATTTCTGTTTTGACTTCATATGCAATAAATTGTATGGGTCTCCTAGAAATGAAAACAGATCCCTTAAAAAATATATCATGCCAGTCAGATGAGGTCCATAAAAAACAAAAACAAAAACCAAACACAGCAACAAGGAAATTAGTTGAACCATTAAAATATAAGATCACTAAGCACAAAAATACTTCCATACATTTTTATTTTATTATTATTATTTTGAGACAGAGTTTTGCTCCTTTTGCCCAGGCTGGAGTGCAATGGCATGATCTCGGCTCACTGCAACCTCCACCTCCTGGGTTCAAGCGATTTCTCCTGCCTCAGCCTCCTGAGTAGCTGGGATTACAGGCGCGCACCACGATGCCTGGCTAATTTTTTATATTTAGTAGAGACGGGGTTTCTCCATGTTGGTTAGGCTGGTCTCAAACTCCAGACCTCAGGTGATCCACCTGCCTCAGCCTCCCAAAGTGCTGGGATTACAGGCGTGAGCCACTGCGCCCAGTCTGCTTCCACACATTTTTAAAAAGAACTTACTGAAACCAAAATATGAAGCCTTTTGGGAAATGTTAACTTAGACTTTTGAACTAGTGTGTGGTATTAAAAAAGCACTTGATGATAGAAGAAAAAAAAAGCACTTGATGAAGAGTCAAGAGTCCTGGTATTCAAGTTCAGGCTATTTCATCAACTACCTGAATGACACTGAGCAATCCAATTAAATCTGCTTGTTTAAAGATCTCTGATTTAGGCATTATTATTCTATGGTGCCATTCACTGGTCTTAACTTGAGCTCTAAATCCTGTCTTGACATCTTTAATTTTTATTAAAGGACATCTGCTACAGTTTCAACTGGCTTGTGCATTTAGCAAAATGTGCATTTCACAACTGCATAAGCAAATTAAGAAAAAACAATAATCCTTACTGATATACACATGGATCTTACTACCTTTCTATAAAAAGTTAGGAATAGGCTTGCTGTTTTTATTGAGATCATTAGATTTCCTCAGCCTGACCCGAGGCAAGGCTTCTAAAACTGTGATGTTTGTACAGGTAGCCTCACACCTCTCTTTCTTCACCTCCTCCTACTTCCTCATAGCGCCTTTGCCCTGACCCCAGGTGTCTCTGCTTTCACAATACTCTGCAAGCTGCCAAACACCCACCTCCTTCTAACCCCCTTGTGCCCACTGTTTTGTTCACTCTTTAGTACATAGTGCCTCATTATTAAAATTCCTTCTTCTTTATAAAAACCAATGTTCATTCTTGAAGTTCCCAACTCAGTGGATATGATGAGGAAAACTATTCGATTAAAAGAATTAATATTAAGTTGTGAATAAATCTACAGCTCATTTTACAGAAATGTAATTGGTGGAATTACAGACTTAATAGCAATGTAAAAACATTTTAGGGAGTGCAGGGAAATTTAAGAAGGTACAAGTCACTTAAAGGGCCTGTTTGCTTTATAGCCTTGCTGCTTAAAGTATGGTCCTAGGACCAACAGCAATGACATCAGCTGGGAGCTTGTTAGAAATAAGAACCTCCGTTCCACTTGTCAGAATTTGCATTTTAACAAGATAGGGGAAACTCAGGGTAGTTTGTATGTATTTTAAAGTTTGAGAAGCACTGGTTTATAGTATTCCAAGTAGGCAAACACCTTTTCTCCTCTTTAATTTAAAGTGGGGTCAGCTGTTGGTTATGTTCAGTTTATTGCTAATCTCTTTTTTTTTTCAAACAAAAGGTTTTACATATTTCTTACTGAACCAGCCTGGTAGTGCAGAGCATATTCATCAATACTAATTTTTGCCATTAAACATGTCCAACTGTCCAGATAGTGGTGACGTTTCCAGCTTGATATGATCAGATGATAGTGACCTTGATACTGAATGGATGTGTGTGCCATCCCATGTGCAAATCCTTATAGACCCAGCTTGGTTCTTCTCCAATGTGTCCTTTTGGTGTTGTAGCTGATTACTAGTTTTCATCCAAATCCACTGGGGAATGAGACAGTTTTGCTTTTGTTTCTTGGCCAGGAATTACTTGATCCTGAAAGTCTTGTGAGAAGACATGGTGAGAAATTTAGTCCTATTATTAATCTTTATGTTTATGTTGCATACATTCTTATATTTATGATAATTTTCATAAAATTTGAAAAAAACATACATTTATATAAAAGGCGGGCCTATAAAAGGCTGTAATCTCAGCACTTTGGGAGGCCGAGGTGGGTGGATCACCTGAGGTCAGGAGTTCAAGACCAGCCTGGCCAACATGATGAAAACCCGTCTCTACTAAAAAATACAAAAAATTAGCCAGGCGTGGTGGCGGGTGCCTTGGGAGGTTACTACTTGGGAGGCTGAGGCAGGATAATTGCTTGAACCCAGGAGGGAGAGGCTGCAGTGAGCCAAGATTGCACCACTGCACTCCAGCCTGAGGAACAGAGCAAGAATCCGTCTCTAAATAAATAAATAAAAGGCTTGGTCATATGTATGAGCCAGTAAAACCAACAGGAATCTGTTTTCCCCTAGAAAGTCTATTAACCAAGAATACAAATAGGAAACTTGTATTCTCCTCTACTGATAGACCTTTAAACATTTTTTATAGTACCATTGATACGATAGACTAGAATGCAAAATTTACATCCATTTCAAAGATAAAATAAGCAGGATGCAGTAGCTCATGCCTATAATCCCAGCACTTGGGCAGGCTGTGGCAGGATGATTGCTTGAGCCCAGGGGTTCAAGACCAGCCTGGGCAACATAGCAAGACTCCATCACTACAAAAAAAAAAAGTAGCTGAACATGGTGGTGCACACTTTTAGTCCTTGTTAATTAAGAGACTGAGGTGGGAGGATTGCTTGGACCTAGGACATTGAGGCTGCAGTGAGCCATGATAGTGCCACTCCAGACTGGGCAACAGAGTAAGATCCTGTTTCAAAAAAATAAAAATAAAAGATAAAACAGACTAAGTGGGGACATGGGGCCAAATGCCTACATTCCTTGGCAGGTGGGGGATTCAAATTTATCCTTTCTCTGTAGAGGCTATTTGGACAAAAAAGTTTGAAAATCAGTCAGGTGCAGTGGCTCAAGCCTGTAATCCCAGCACTTTGGGAGGCCGAGACGGGTGGATCACAAGGTCAGGAGATCGAGACCATCCTGGCTAACACGGTGAAACCCCATCTCTACTAAAAAAATACAAAAAACTAGCCGGGCATGGTGGCGGGTGGCTGTGGTCCCAGCTACTTGGGAGGCTGAGGCAGGAGAATGGCGTAAACCCGGGAGGCGGAGCTTGCAGTGAGCTGAGATCCGGCCACTGCGCTCCAGCCTGGGCGACAGAGTGAGACTCCATCTCAAAAAAAAAAAAAAAGTTTGAAAATCTCTGGGTCTCCCGGTCAAGTTGATTACTATTATTTCCTGAAGACATTCTGTTTCTTCTGACTTCCATGCTTTTGCCCCTGCCTGCTATTATCTCCAATACAAACCTTTCAAGTCACAAAATTTACTTGATAAGATGGAAGTAGGTGAGAAGCCAACTTGTTCTTGCCTGGCACCAGCACAATTTTGGCCTACATTTTGTTTTCTCACAGAAGGAAGATGATCTTAGGTTTGTGCAAGTCTGCCTGACCTGAAATTTGAAGACCTGGATCATAGCTATTTGGTGAAATTAATTGTTGCTTTATATAGATATAGTTATTTAGAATTTATTCAGTCCAACCAACCTATGGGGGACTCTTAACTTCCCAATAGATGGCAATTCATTATATTGCTAAAATTACCACAACTGTTACTTGAATTTTTACTGGATAATCTAATCTAGACAATTAGATTCCATTCTACTGGAACTAACAGGTAGACTGTTAGAATATTGCAAAGAGGAATTTATACAGTTCTACAGAGTGACTTTTTACCTCCAAGTATGAAGTTTAATGTCTTCCTACTTCTCATTCTAAAAGATATGCCAAGAAGACATATGTCTCATTATCACATATTGGACAGCTCAGCTCTGAGTCAGTGACCCTCTCACCTACAGAAATCATCCACTGCGCCAATAGTGAGGCAGGTTGGCTAACCTTGTTTTCTGTTGCTTATGGGGCTTTATATGCCCTGAGGAAAAAAGACTTGAGTTTCAACATCTATCATTTCTGCCTGTTGGATTTCTTAAATCCATTCTATTTAGGAGAAATTTCTTGAGGTGTGCATCCCACTTCCTATACGCATGATTCCGTGATATTCAAAACCTATTTATTGAGTGCCTACGATCACTGTGATAGACACGACCCAGGAGAATCTAAAATGGGTAAGACCATCTCTGTTCTTCAGGAGCTTTATAGTAGTATGTGTGTGTTTGTGTGTATGTGGGAGAATGAAGTGGGGGTTAAAAAGTACATAGAAAACTGTAATATAAGGCAGAACACACATGCTATGTGTAGGCCCACCAATAACATTTCTGGGATTCATATCAAAAGAACAAATTGAGGCCCACATACCATATACTAAAATCTATAAAAGTTGTAAATCAAATTAACACAGACTACCAAATAAAATATAGCCTCATACCTCAACAAGTAAATTTTCATAGCAACCAAATAGAAAAATGTGTGTAAAGCTATAGTTTTTATATGATTGGAAAGAGAAGTGAAATGTCGAAAAACGACAGAGTTTAAATATTATTGCATGTGTCCAGATGTTCCACTGATAATCCAGTGGTGTGTGGAGAAATAAAATTTTTTAAAGTGTAATTTATATATCGTTATATTTATTCCATAATTTTTATCTTGCTATCATTTCAACAAAATTGTGAATTATGTTATCATCATTAAAGTTTTTGTTTATCTGTATTCTATCTACAGCAATTACCTAGATGTAGTAAAATTTAAAGGGTACAGGCAAGGCACAGTGACTCACGCCTGTGATCACAGCACTTTGGGAGGCCAAGATGGGTGGCTCACTTGAGGTCAGGAGTT